CTGTTGAGGAAATCTAGCTTCTGGACAAGTATGTCTGTAGCTCTAAAGGCAAATGAAGGGGGTGGTCACACTATTGCCAGAACTGGAAGGCAGATCTGCTGGAAGCCTCAAATTTGAGGCTGGAAAGGAGAAATAACATTCTCTATAGGGGAATAATAATTGAATGCCAAACCCTTTCAAGAGAAACTTCAAGGTTCGTTCAGAACTAAATGAAACAGAACAGCTTGCTGTTTGAATCATATTATTTCAACAAGGCTTTGCTAGGACAATGACAGAAATGTGCTACCAGCACTAGAGTCAGCTGGTCATTTAAGGACCCATGATCACATCTGGTTACACTCTATATAGCTATAGATAGGAGAGGCGTAAACATACATGGACAAATATACATGATGCTTCCATAAAAGGACAATGCACAAAGCTAAAGGGGAAAAACCCAACCCTAAACTGACTGGCAGAGGGGGAAAAAAAAAATCAGAAAGAGAAGTTCATGAAAGGTGGGATATGGATGGCCACAATTCTGTAACGAAAAAAGTACAACTGTTGCTGAAAGCCTGCCTTAGTTCAGTGGTAAACATGATGGAGCCAATCTTAAAAACATCCATAGTATATTAAGGGAAAATGCAGAGCAAATGACAAAAAATTGGAAGTTACGAAGTAGAAGCTGTTGATGAAGAAAACTAAGAAGAAACACAGCTCCATTACTAGTAGCACATCATCTGTATTACTTTAGTACGTACAGAGTACTTTAAGGAAAAAAAGTAAATCTTAGCAATGGCACAGACCCACTAGGTATGAAGATGGAAAAATTTAGCAGAGCAGGCAGAAGTATTCCAAAATACTTCAGTTCCTTTTAGGGGTGATGGAGAAAGAGACAGAACAAGGTATTTATATTATGGACGACGGTGAAATATTTTACAGCCCATAAGTAACTGAGATTCTAGAAAACATCTGCTAAGAAAATATAAGTCAGATTTTGTATCCAAGAATATTAAAATATCTCGTCAAAGAGATATCTGATCTAATTAACTGCAAAATGGGTGAAACTTCAAAACACTGGAAAAGTCCTAATATTGTGTCATTATTGTAAAAAACACCCAAACAACAGCAATAATTAACAGGGTGACTCAAGTAATTTTAGGTAACTATGGGCTGGTAGCTCACCATTACTCCTAGGCAAAACATTAACTGAATCCCATTCAGTATGGGATTCAGCAAAAGAATACGAGCATAATAAATGCTCTTATAATACAAGGTGTTTTTATGGAAAGCAGACCTAGTTAAAAAATCCCAACTAATTTCAGTCTTTGATAAAACTACGAGCTTTCTTTGGTAAAGATATTTGTTTAGAAACAACTTGACTTTGCACTGCATAGCCTTCCAGCTAAAAAGTTAGCACCACATAATATCTATAATGAACATATTGAATGGATTAGGAACATGACAGCTAACAGATGTCAAAAACCAGTTGTTAGGAGAAATAATTGCAAAGTAGAAGTGTTTCTAGTTTAGATCTGCAAGGTTTAGTGTTATATCCATCGCTATTTAATGGCTTTAGCAGTCATCTGGAAGTAAACACAAAATCACTCTTGAAAAAAACGTGCAAACAACTAACAGACTATTAGAGGTGGTCATTCAGGCCAGTCATTTCAGTTTCTGCAGTCAGAGCTGGGAGAATTTAATACCACTAAGTTGTAAGTTTTATCTCTAGGAATAAGGAATATAAGCCATGCTGCAGAAAGGAAGAATGAGTCCTGGAAAGCTATGACCTAAAGGAACTGAGTATTGATAAACAACAAATTCAAATATGAGCTTCTAACTTGATGTTGCAGCTAAATGATATCCTTCTTGGATCTAGAAACAGGAATGTGGTTTTACCTTCTAGAAACACGACAGGAGAGACCAACATCAGAAATGTCTTGTCCAGATATATATTTCACATTTTAAAAGGGATGTTGGAAAGTGGGATGGAAACAAAAACTTAAAAAAATAAAGGACTAGCAAAGATGTCTTCAAGACATCAATCTCATTAGTCTATCGAAATGAAGATGTGAGAGGTGTCTTGATTTTAATGTAGTACCTTTTAAGTACCTTCATGGAGGATAAAAGACTACATATTAAAGAGATTCTCCATTGATTTAGTAGAAAAAGGTATACTGTAAGCCATGACATTATTTAGACTGGAAGGAGCTCTGGGGGTTATCTTGTCCAAGCCCCTTGTCCCAAGTAGAGCCAGCTATGAAGTTAGATCAGGTTTTCCAGGGACGTGTCCTGTCAAGTCTTGAAGGTCTCCAAGGACGAAGATTCCACAGCCCCTCTGGGCACTTTTTCCAGCACTTCACCATCCTCACCATGAACACTTTCTTGCCTAGTATGTAATCAGAATTTCCCTTCCTGCCCACTGCCTCCCATTCTTTCTCTGTGCACCTCCAATTAGAGCCTGGCTGTATCACTGGCTAATAACCACCCATCAGGTCATGGGCAGCGGCTGAGTATGACTTTGCTTTGCCTAGCCTTTAGGCAGAAGGTCCACTGAATTCATCAAGTTTTTAACAGAGTACATGTTTAATCACTGGAATAAACTAGCAAGCTAAGTGGCATACTTTCCTTGTCTCAACACCTACTCATCTGTAGATCCTTTCCTTGAGGACATGCCCAATGTAAGAATTATGCTTTGGAAGACAAGCTATTTGACCTCTCTAAGAGTAACTGAATGAAATGTGGTGGGTTATAATATAGAAGAGATTAGGTTTAACAGTTCTTCCTAGCTTAAGTTTTATGCATTTGTAGGGATTTGCTGGGTGAAGTTGAACATATATGAAATAAAAAAAAAACAAACATGTATTGCAGCACTTATGAAGTTATGATAACATGAAATAAAATACCTGAATAGTTTGATTCCTTGGTATGGCTCTCCTCATCTAATGAAATCAACCTTAATTTGAAAGAATAAGAAAAAGATTGAGAAAATAATTCTAAGGCTATAGATTAATAATACATTTGTCTCTTTCAAGAGATATGAATCATATCAACAACAAATAAACAGTAATTCAGATGGACTCTTGCATTTGCTGTATGTGCTGCTCTGTTGTTAACTTTTATTGTTTCATTGGCAGAAGTCTGTTGAAAACAAAAATTAAATTGAAGACCAACTATCAAAACCTACCACCCTTCCATTTTTAATCTAACTAAATCTCTGTAATGAAAAGTACAGGGTATTCTGCTTTTCCAGATTTGGTCTTTCATAACTATCATGAAGGAGGTACAACTGTTCCAAAAAAACCCCACCAAACAACCAACCAACCCACTTTGCACTTCTTTTTTTAACAGTAACTAATTAAAAATCAAGTCAGGTGAGTTTTGTCCCATGTCAGCAGATTTCTGAAAAAACAAATCAGCAGTGTTGATGAAAAAGCTCTTGACAGAAAAAAAGCTGTGGTTCACAATCAATTCTTATACAAAGGTAATCTCTTCAGTGAAGAATATATACTTTCTAACTGCTATTATTTTGTGTAAAGCCATTCAACCAGTAGGGAATGAAGCAGCCAAAAGGCTGATGTGGTGGTGAAGAGGACTGCGTAGGCACATTCCTCCTCTCCTCTAGTGATAGGACAGGAGGAGCTCCCCTGCTCTTGAGGATAGGCTTGTGGGGATCAGAGGAAAATTAGATTCAGGCCAAATTCTAGTATAATGAATGTTTACTGTGAATGGAAAGTTCATGAGGATTTTAGAAGCTTTGTTTTGTGTAATTCTCCTAGAATCTTAGATGTTTATGGTTTGTTTTAGGCAGCAAAATTGTGACATATTTTTCCCCTCAGTTTTATGACAGACAAGGAAAAAGATAATCCATAAATAAAAACAAGTACAACCATGACATGGCACCTGATGCATTTGCTGGTAGGTGCCAATGCGCACATCTTGCATAAATCATGCATTCATTCTAGAATTCTATGTTCAACATTGAGGAAAACAATTGTTTACGAAATTCTTTACTATTGTCACATCAGAAGCAGCAGATTCAAGGAACTGCTGTGGAAACAACCACCTGCCAAATGGTACTTGGCCGAGTCCTTTCTAATCTGAATAGCACCAAACCTGACCAATTTATAAACTGATTTTGGTCCGTGGTTCTGAAGCTAAACAAGTGAAAGGACTGGAAAACTGAACTCTTTAAAAACCCGTTATTATAAATAGCCAAGCAAAATCCACTAGTTATCAGTTAAGCTGTTCTCTGCTTTTTGACAACTGATCCTTTGCTGGGTGCTTCATTTAACCAGGGATAGTCAAAACAACAGGTGGCAGCAGGATTATATCAACGTTGCATCTCCTCGCAACTGAATCCTGATGGTCCGGTAGGGGAGGGATCGCATCTCGTTCTCCTCCTCTCCTCATAGCAGCCCATTCATAAGTCTCTCTCACTCAGAGCTACAGGTAACTCAAACCTTGATAGCATCAGCTCACTTAGATGTACTTTTTACTAAGTACCTATCGCTTCATTGGATTACTAACCGATGCTGTATAAATTACAAAAACTAATCGCTGCTCAACGCAATCAGGAATCCATATCCTATTTCCAGGTGAAAGGAGATGCTGCTGAAGGGAGAAATACAATGCTCATATATCTCCTCCCATGTGTGGCTGTTTACCATTTCTTTTACTAAAGAAAAAATGAAGCAAAAGCTGAAAAATAAAGAGAAGGCTAGGAAAGATGAAAAACATATAAAGGTTTAATGGGTCTTCTTAAAGTTCTTAATTTCACCATAAAGTTTATTAGTTTTCATGTACACAATACCGCATTTCAGGAATTCTTGTATTAAGCTTACTGTTAGCTAGTGCGATCAGACTAGCTGTGTCTATATTTCCATTTATAACTGTTTGGTAACTTTAGCAACCAGAAAGCAGATTATAGACAAAAATACTTATTCTTTTAATATATAGGCCACGTGACTTACTGACTCTGCTGATCTTGTATTGATTTGGTGCTCTCAATCTGCAGATCCTCCTTTTCTGCTTTTTCTGTTAGTTTATTCACAGGATCTTGTAAGCTCTAGATCGTAACCATAATATAAATGAAGAGAAGAAAACAAAAAGCTGAGGCTAAAACAAATAAGCCACCTTTTGCATGAAACATAATGAACACGAAAATGTAGTGGCTTTGCATCTGGAGTTTTAACAAAACGGTAGTATATTTCATGACAATAGTAAAACAAAGAAAAAAATGTGGCTGCTAAGTCCATCTCATCTATTGAATAAAAGTTAAGAGTCCCCAGCCCATCTGGTACAAGAAAAGCATTCCCAGGCATGTTGCAGGACTTGTTTGCACTGCCCTGTTATCCAGGACAGATGAGTCACCAGAAGGGGCATTCCAGTTTCTGCTTGGCTCAGTACTTGTCTGTATGAGGAAATGTATACTTCAGTGTTTTAGAAACCAAACTAATGGACCTGTCGTATACTGCAGTTGCATCTCTCAGTAAGTTAATTCTTCTATCTAATACCACAGATTAATTTGTCATGAGCATCTAGAGCACTGCAGACATCATGCGTCAAAAGATGAGGGATCACAAAAGCAGCAATAATAAATAGAGGCATTAAAGAAATTTACCTTATTCTGCGGTTGCCACTTTTTTTGGAAACTGTAACAGTGCTAACGAGAACCACTTGTAAGTATACTTCTTGGATTCTGAATAATGGACACTAATCACCTCAGCTAGATCACCTATGAATTAATGTTACCCTTTAACTGCATTTGTACCAGGTATTAATTAGATTGTGCTTCTTGTACTATTAAAATTGATGGGAATTATTCCATTGACTCCAAGAGGCCCTGGATTAGAGTTCAGAAACATAAGAATATGCACTATACTTGCAGAAAAGTGCAGTGCAGAGAAAGACAGCAGAGCTTTGCATTACGGGCACTTGAACTGTCTTGGACACCTTCACAGTAGGGCACACAGGTTACCGTAATCAGGAGGTGATGGTGCAATAGTTGTGGTGCTCTGTCTGCCACTAAGTATAGCAGCACAAAGCCTGCCCCAAGAAGAACGTAATGGTTTTGAACAACAAACAGAACTACTTTAAGTACTGCCTAATTATACAAGTTAAAGAAAATTATCAGAAGTAAAATCTTCTGCATCTTCACCAAGAAAAATACAAAGAATCAGCATCCTTCTTTAAGGAACTACATTTTATGATGCTTCCTTCATGAGTGTTTCAGGAAATCCATATTTAAAGGACTGTGATCAAACCACGGAAACAGCATATAGAAATGGAGTTCACAAGTACCTTGGGAAGGAAACAGCATGATAATAATGGCAGTTAATATTTCCTGCATTAGAAAAATAAGTGTAGCTCTGAAATATAGCTTCAGTTTCAATGGAGATTATGAAAAAAATTGTTAAAAATCACCAGCTGTATTTTAATGCAATAATTCAATTTAGCAATTTAGACAATATTCCCTCCAATTCTGATAGCAAATAATGAAATTCTTTTCCTCTCTCCTGCCTCTCTCTACTCCACATCCCAAAATACACTAGGAACTGAGATATCTTTTTAAAAAGATTAAAAAAAAAAAATCTACAGAATGGGTATGAAATAAAACTGAATGTTAAAAAGCTGTTGTAAACTGTTTTCTAAACAAGAACCCATGGTAACGGGATCACTAGTGTCAGCATGTGTAGAAATGAAACTCTGATATTCTGTTAATTGTTTCAGGTTACATCAGAAGAAGGGAAGAAGTCCCATCATCTAGAAAGTGTAGTAATTAAACAAACTATAAAGATACAGACTGAGTTCAGACAAAAGCAAGCACACTTCAGTTGGGTGTACGAAGCATCCCTGACTTTGTTGGCTCAGAGGAGACAAATGTGTAACTTCACAGCACTTGTCTGGGTGCTCGTGTGAACTCACGTGGACTTTGTTGTGGGCTGCACCAGTATGTGACTGAAGGTAGGATCCTCTCGCGTTCAGAAAGCTTTCTTCCTAGCTTCATTATTTCTCTTTTACTATAAAAATCAGGGTAAGACTGTACACACTAGTAGAGCAAGTTCACAGTCATTCACTCTGCCTATCTTGTCTGTTTCTACAACCAGAAGTCACCCAGTGATATTTTGTTTGCTCTCAGTACTCAGACTAAATATCCAAGCCGACAAGGAGTTCCTCCACTGCAGAGTTAACTCTGGTTCCAGCTTAGGCACCGTTCCTAGACTGACTGCTACTCACTTACAAAATTCCTTCACCTACATCTGGGCTGCTTTCAAGTCAAGCCAAGGTCATCTGGACTGCACACAAACCTGTCCTCTGCAGTTAAATCACCAGAGTGTTGACAACATGTTCAGCTCGCCCACAGTTCCCCCCCAGGTGCCTTGGACAACTAATGCGCTTCCTCTTGACTGAGAAAGAATTAAAGCAACAAAGCTAAGGGCAACTCCAGCAGCCAGGGATACATCCCAGGATGTCAGGACACATATGGAGAAGTGCAGCACCATTGAGGAGACAAAAACTTGGATATGTTTCATTTGGGGGGACAGCTGAAAGGGAAGAGGAAAAGCAGGTAGTCTCAGAATTTCCTCATGGAGATCCATCAAAAAAACCCCCAACAACCAACCCAAAAAAACCACCACAAAACCCCCTAGAGAGATAAAATTACATGCAATCTTGCCTGTGAGTAAAGTCATGGTGCAACAGACAGAAACAAGAAAGGATACCGTACTACAACAGAGGTGAGCAGGAGGCAACAGTGGTGGTGTACTCGTTTGGACAGAGCTCTTCAAACCATGTAAGGAGCACAGGCAGCAGCATTCCACTTTGCACGGAAATAAATGGATGCACTGAGATTTACGCCTTTTAGCTCCCTTACCAGGGCTATTATTATATCTAGGCTCATACGAACTCTTCAGGAAGTTTGGTATTATAGCATTAAAACGTAAAAAATGCAACTAAATATTCATTAAGTAACTAAGGCAAATAAACAGTGACAGAAATTAGAAAGAGGTATCATTCATGAAAAATAGGCCCTGAAATGAATTTGAATTCATTTGATATATGGTAACTTCAAGACAATGAAACCTTAAAGGCTTTACTACAACAGCAGCCCAACATCTTTAATATTACAGCAATAGATACTTTTACATCATGATACATAGAGTAGTTAGCACATTAATAATCATCTTTCATCAAGCATAAAACTTGCAGTTAGGAAATACAGCTGCAATAGCACAATTATACTACTCACAGCATATACCCTGAAGCAAAGAAAACAAATGGGCTGCTTTTCATTAAGGGAATTTGGCAAACATCTCTAAAGACAATGTTTTCTTTCCAGAAACAATCCCGAGAGGCATTTAAGAGTCTCTTTCCTGAGGTAAACCTGGCATATGAAAATATTCATACTGCAAAATACAAATAGCAAATTTCCAGTACATAGCACCTTCTAATTTTTCAGTAAGACAATCTACATCTAAGTTAAATATTAACAGTTTCTTTAAATTCTTGTTTTAAAGTAAAACGCTAATCCTACGTACTTGTATGCTTAGTTTAATTGAGAAGGATCACTTGTATGAGCAAAATTAAGCTGCTAGTATCAGAACTGGAATCATAAAAGACAAAATGATTTGCAAGCACCAAATTCAAATTTTTCTTTTAGAAAAGATCCCTTTTAAGATATAAGACAGGGAAAAATATTCTAAAAGGGGTAACTCCTGATTAAACATAGAAATGGGCACATTGAAATATTTTATGTACATTTTAAGCAATTATATATTCTGATTGTATATTTTTAATGCATAAAGTCAACAGCAGACATGGTATCTTCATTGGGAACATTTTTAGACCAAAAGTTTCTCCATCAAAAAGTACATGTACCCTAGATCAGCTACAGCCATTTATTATACTTCATAAAAAAACCCAAACATATAATCTCAATGTAGAATTAGCTTGCAGCTCCTTCTTATATAGTTACTCTGGCATGAACATATGATGTGACTGGTAGGGATCAGTTCCCTAACCATAAACTTCTATTGTTATTCCACACCTAGGTCTATCGGAGGAGACACGGGACTCACGGGAGTCCCACACCCTTCAGAAAAGACAAGTAGAGGTGAGGTGACTTACCCTAGGAAGGAACCTGAAGTAGCAGCAGGCACCTATTCTCTTAGGCAACAGAGTCTCACCTGATGCAACCACCAGATTTTGATTTAATCTCCTTAGCAATCGTTTAATATAAACAAACAGAAACTACCAACTGGGGGAAAAGAGATCATGGAGGAGTCTTAACTTTTGTACAGAAAATAATCCCACACTCTAGAGACCGAAAGAAATAAAGAACTGACACTAAAAGGCAGTAACGTGGTCTTATTCCCAAGCAGCTGTTTTCTGAAAGCACGGAGTTCCATGAAATTCTGTAATATAAAACTACCTCCTGATTAGCATCATTTCTCAGTATACACATCACTGCAAAAACAGGAAATCGCATCTTTTCAGCACAGGAGACCAGCAATAAAAATGGTTAAGATTCTCATAAAAAGTTAGGCTGCATCCTAAACACACTACAATATTCACAACCATTTTTACAGTTACTTTTTGCTTCAAGGGAGTGCTTGTTACACGTGTGTGGACTCAATACACATTGTATTTCTTCATCATAGATTCCCAACCTAATTTCAAATTTAGATTATACTGAAAAGAGGAAGTTCAAAAGATAAGCATCCCCAAATCTCTCTCATCCTCCATCGCAAGGGTACTGCACACTCCAGAACAGGTGCATTTTTTCTGTACAAGTTTCTCTCCAAGGTGTCCAAATGTTACTATACATTTGAAACATCGTATGTCTTGTTCAAATAATAACATTTTTAGATATAAAAGAGGATGAAAAATAAATACGCAGCAACAATATAGGCTACCTACACAAATTAGACTGAAATTGGTCTGTATCAAAGCAAAGAGAAAAAATTCCTCAGAAACCTTCTAACGTCGGGAAGTTATGAGGAGAACAGCCCACCAACATGGTACCAAAGCTCCTGAGCAGGCAATGGTGGGGAAATAAAGGGGACTTTCTTTTCTGGTTTGGAGTTTAATTGGTGAGTCTGTAGGCAATTACTAGCAATGTCAAGATAACTATGCCCAACTGTCTCCTGTTGAAACCTGAACATAACCTCTGGCTAAAACCCATCTTCCATGACATGGACTATGGAAGGAAGAAGCTTAGAGTTATGTTAACTTCATAGCAAATGAGGACTTCTGCAGGACAGGATTCCTCAGAGGCTGGGTAAGATGAAACAGTTTATGAGCCTCCTTTTATTTTTGTCCTCTGGTCAGGAGAGATTGAGCTTGGAGAGAGTGAGCTTGAAATTTGTTTGTTTGTTTGGTCTGTTGTGATGTTTCAAGCTGCGGGAGTAACAGTCTCCATAAGTTCTTTATGCACTTCCAAGTTCAGAAACTGCTCCCTCCTAACCCACATTCTAGAAAACAACTTTAAATATAGCATAGTCATGTACAGACAAGTTTGGTAGTCTGGGGTGAATTAAACCTTATACCTTCAGGTGCTTCTTCTCCAGGAGCTCTGGGGCAGGCGCATGCTATATAGCACAGTGCAGCCCAACTTCCACTTCTACAGGTCATATGCACAAGCGTTTCATGGATTGAGGTTATGACTTGTAATTGTTTTCAAACTGGGTTGTCTCTCCAAGAAAACAGCGGCTTTGCCACAAGCTGTTCATTCCTCACTTTCCTCCCGCTGGTAACACTTCCATCAGACCTCCTTCAGACAAATGTTATTTTTCTTCCATGCAAACAGGATCAGCCAATCACGTAGTTATTACATTGTAGAAAATAACTACAGGACAAAATGTCTATGGGGATAACTGGAAAGTTAACGAATTTTTTCACTGTTTCCCATTCCTCTACTGAACCTCAAATTGCAATGGGCAAAGCAACTTCCTATGCAGGGGAAAGCGTGATCAGGAAAACACACAGTGCCAAGTGCTTATTTTTAGATACCTGGTGAAACTCTGAAGTCAGACTTCAGTCAGATATTGCACATATTCCATATTCAAAGATTACAAAGGATCAGCAAATATCACTAGTGAAGCAAAATAGTATTTTCCACAGCAGTTAAGTGGTAGTAAGTCTGAGTACTTCAAAATAGCTGTGAGAACCCTGAGCATCCATGTACTCATATTCAGTCCAATAAGGTCTTCTTAAAGAACGTGAGTTTTTAAAAACGGATGCAAAGGCAAAGTAGTATTAAGTCACTTGTGGGATTTTGGAGGGCAACATAAATCCCTAACTTTCCCAGATTTTACGATTCTTTAGGAACAATCAAACAGAATCCCAGTTAGCACTTAAACACATACTTAAGTGCAGCCCTGAATAATGTCTTTCTTTGAAATAGGTCCCTTAGTCACTGCACTCTACATGCAGCGTTTGATCCTACTAGCCAGAAGTGCGTTTAACAGAAAACCTGTATTTGAATGAAAAGACAGGACAGGGATAAAATTGTCAGACAACATATGGACAAAATATGAATGTGTGCTTTCTACACCCTTGTATGGTCTTTTATTTGTTATCACTGGGCAAACAAACATATCTATATATTCCTCACCTTTAACATAGTGAATTCATATGGCTGATAACCTTTGAAACTTTCATGGATGGCTGCCATCGTGTGCGAAGTTTTTTCCCAAAAATGAAGAAGTGTTGTCTGTAAGGTAGGATAAAATTTCAATGATATGTTAGCTTTAACACCAATCCGCTTTCAGTGCAAATTTCACATCTCCCCTCCAATACTAGTTATATATTCTTACAATTGAATATTGCCATGGTAACCTCTTAAAAAAAAAATATATTAACAGGAAATTTTTCTTTTGGAGGTCAACATTTTCTTTGGATACCTGATATGTTGTTAACACATGAGAAAGGAGGTTGCATCTGCTCGCTCCCAAAAGATCCACTTTTTGACAGACATCAGTCTTGAGTTTGTCAAAGTTGAGTTTTGCATGTCGCACTTGAGCTTGAACCTTCAAATAAAGGGACAATTGTTCATGTAGTGATTTTTTTTTTTTCTCTGTTTTTCTACCCTAGCTTCATGAAAGAGCAAAATAATACAACTTTTAGGGAAATCAGACAACCAAACAGCCTCAAGTAAAATTTATACAGAACTTTATTACAGCATCAGTCCCACTGAAATTAAGATATGGCAGGCTGATATATGCTAAAATATGGCTCTTACTATCTTCTATGTTACTATTTTTCTAATATATTCAGTGAAGAAATTTTATTTTCTAACCTCTGTTTGTAAGACAGATATTAGTATTAAATATATACTGAGAAGATAATAACTGGAAAACATTTTGGTGTATCGTTACAGAAATACCAAATTCAAAGCCTGATCAACAAATCTGAAACTAAAAGTTTACTACATAATATACAGGTGCACAGGCAAAGATGTCTCCATGTACCTAGAGAAGGAGACAAATTATACTGACAAACTTTAAAGTAGATCCGCAACTCCTGTTGACAATATAGCACTTCAATAATTTTGAACTGCTATAAAAATTTCGCTCATTAAAGTTTTCCTTCTAAACCAGAGTGCTTTTCCTGTTCATTGCTATAAGAAAAATATCAAGGCCCCCTTTCTTAGGAGCAAACAATTTCAGTTTCAAAGGGTTTTAGTTTTTCAAATTATTCTTCTACCACCTGTTAAGTATATACAAGACACTGTCTGTTATACAAGCCGCACGTGTTTGACAACAATACTGGTATTCTCATGACCAGGTATCAGGGTAGAAAGTTGATGTAGGCGTTGTGTACTCAGGATGACCCACTTTTATGACAGCTTTGTACACTACCGTAATACTATATTAACAAAAAAAAAATTGTTTATAACAGAATTTGTATACAAAATTTAGTTTTCTTCCAAGGAAATGGGAAACAATCAAACCACAAACCATGATGATTTTCCTATAACTATATTATTTATACAATAAAATGTTTACCCAAAAAAACCTTCACAGTCGGAAAAAACCCACTGAATGCAAATTAAATACATTTCCTTTCCTTTACTTGCCTAACTCAGAGAGTAAACTGAATTTGTTCAGAATACGCAGACTCAGTCGAAGAAGATCTGACAAACTTGTATGCTCCTGATCTTCAGAAGTGAATCCAGAACCTTGCAGCAAATGCCTGTGCTCCTTGTGCGGTAAGGACAGATACTTCCCTCATAACGCAATCCGAAATGTTAGGGTCACCATATTTCTAATCTTATTTTCCCAAACTCACTTAGAGTATAGGACACCTCCAACCAGGCAGAAAAACAGCAAAAGTTCTGCATCACAAATTCATCAGATGACCTATTCACACAAATTGTGTGACTCTTGGGTTCCTGGATGTGTGGTAACTTTTTTTCACTGATCAGATTGGCTCTCCATAAGTAATATAATAGGGTCGCACATATCATAGGCCTGATATGTTCATAATGAAGAAACTACCATAATTCAAAATTTCTGATAAATGCAGCATCTCACGGGTGAGATTTTAATTGTAGAAAAAGATGATGCCTAGAAAAAATTTCTTTATTAAAAAAAAAAAAAAGTAACAGCAGTGATACTCTACCTTTATAAAGTAGCTTTGTGGTTAGTGCATTCATCTAGAAGGGGAAGTCTTCCAGAATAACTCCACATATTACACCAAGCAATCAATGAACAAATCTTGAATTCTGGTAATAACAACTACATCTCAAACTTCTGACCTGTTCCAGTGCTCTAACCACAAGACTACAGCATCTTACTGATGACTTGGTTTGCTGTTTTGGCATACTGAAGAGCTTCAAACCAAAGAGGTTGTCCAGAGCTGGAAGAGTTCTTCGATAATGAAGAGATGATGTGGTAAGGTGGAGACAGATTCCCCCAGGAAGGAGGAAATTGCTCCCGTGGCTTCCACTCCTTGGGCAAGTATGACAAAAGCTAAGCTATGATATAAAAAGCAAGAAGCAGCTACTGCCAAGACATCCCCCTACAAAGTACAGTATTTTGTGAAAAGCCTTACCCAGTCGGAACTACACTGGCATGAGCTGAGGCTGCCTCTTAGTTTGGGATCCTCGAGGGACTTTGCACTACTTCTTTTAGCTTGAGGATTTGTGCCTGGCTGAAGCCTGAGTGAGGCACCATGCTATCCATGCCAGGAGAAGTCCCATCCCACCCACAATTGTATAGTCAAAACAGCAGGTGGGTAAAGAGCTTATAATTAGGCAGCAACAGAGGAGGACGGGAGCAGTGGCAGAAGCAGCGGGGAGGCTTTATCCAGTGCTGGATAACACACCTTTGTCCTGCATTAGGTCCTCAAATCCTTTATTTCCTTTAGCTCCGAGTGACTGAGAGCACGGATTTACAACTTTGGTCTAAAAAGGAGAATTGGGAAGAAAATCATGGGCCTGTGCAAAAAGGAACTTCTAATTGAAATCCAAACATGAGATTACCTGTATCTATTGCCAGCAAGAATTGCTACAACAGGAAGGTATTTAAGTAAGAGATGTTGTACGGCTTTGAAAAACCCAGTGAGACTTGCGACTAAGTTCTGATCTCAGTTAGAGCCATGAAAATCCAGAGAAATTCAACTGATGTCAGTGGAAATGCGTCAAATATAAAACTATATTTTACAATGGTGCAGCTGAGATCAGAATCCCTTTCCTATTCAGTGTATCATAGCACTGGTGAAAACACAGTAAGAACAGCTGTGGCTTTGTAGACTGATAGTCCAAGTGAGCAAAGAATGTTAGTTCTGGGGAATATACTCTGTCAGAGATGGTGGGCCACAAGAAAAAAAAAAAAGTACTACCAAATGTAATTATAAATTTCTACAGCTGCAAGTGTGCACAAGGACTTTATACAACAGGCTGGGATTTGGGTCTACCTCATGTCTCCAGCTCCTTAAAAGAAGAGAAAAAAATCCAGAAAACAAGACCTGTAAAGTTTGAGTTGTAGTCTTCCTGCATAGAGTCTTCAGGGATATTTAGCAAGAAACAACGTCAACATTTATCTTAACTGAACATGTAATTAGCATATCTTTTAAAAGCTAGAGCATTCATAAAGAGAAAGAGGTGATCCACAACACAATGTGGAATACAAACCTGTACGTTTGACATGCCCATACAGATGATTCAAAATACTTAATGCTGTGTTACCAAATGCCACACGTTTCTCCTGCCAACCAGGGAAGACGTGATACTATGAGAACTATTAAATTAAGGATGCTTTTAGGTTTTTTAATATACTGAAAATTTATTGAGCAGAAGTACTCTCCATTTTGCAGCAGCAGTGCAGGACAGCTGAGAAAGAATACCACATACTACATCAGTGTGACCTTTTGCCTTTTATGTGTGCCAATAAATGCATTTTCAATTCAAATTATTATTAGACATCTTTTAAGATTACTTGTGGCTTCTGGAATTAGGTATAAAACCTTAGTGCTTACAAAGCATAATCTACTTAATACCACGCAAGTTATCAGAATGAACCTTTGGTTTTCTACTCAAGGGAAAGCTGATGTAATACATACTAATCTTCTCCTTTCTCTGCAATTACTCTCTAAGACATGAGAAACAGGACCTCATTGTGGTCTCAGTCCTGCAAATTTTTATTCATGTATTTAACTTTATTAAAGCTGAACATACAAAATTTCTTCAAAATCCTAGTCTGAACAGTGTGCGGATTTTACTGACTGTAAGAGAACTGCACCAATCCAAATGCAACTTGGACATTTTATGATGAAATAGCTCCTAAGCATCTGAAACTGTAGGTGCTAGCTGTGACGTTTATGCTGTACAAGAAAATCTTATGGTACCACTGTCATAAAAAAGATTATTACTCTTCATCTTTTTCTTTTTCTAAGCAGCAACCTCGAGCAACCTGCTTTTAATTTCCCAGTGCAAACATCTAAGTACAATATTTATGGAACAGAATTCTTTAAAGAGAGCACATAAGAAAACATAAATTTGGCAAGCAGTATCTTATTAAATCAATAGCTTGATAAACTACAAGTTACCAGATAAAAATGAAATAATTTTAAAAGACTAAAATAAATAAGTAAGTAAATAAATAAATGTTAAAATCCTAAATCCTGGGGGTTTGAAAGTCAGATTCTGGTATGCTTGATTGTAAGGGCAAATATTTGCTAACACAGGTTCCTAAACCTGTATTCAAACAGAACAGTCCCAATCTTCAAGAGTGCTAACATTAAAAAAACAACAAACAAACATTCAGACCCAGTTAAAAAACCCTATTCAGTATGTTCAGTTATTAAAATACAGTTTTGTCATGTATTTTCAAGGAATCTTTATGTCCTCTACAGTACATCTGTGTTATTAGTTTCTTTTAGTCTACCATAAAATGCAAAATTTATTTTTAGTAGTAGCCCAGTTTCAGGGACAATTCAGCTAGTGAAGCATCATCTCCAAAATGAACTTACGTCGGATAAATGCACTAACCCACTTTACATACAGTATATTTTTATCTCAGCATTTCCAACATAGAAGCAGAAACAGATGCTTCCAGTCTAATTTGTCACCCAACCTTGCACTTACTCGATCTGAAAAGCATGCACAGTGTGTGTATCGGCTAGAAGGAGGGGGGTAAGTAAATCAAGAGGGAAAAATGCCTGGAATATAGCAAACCTTCCTGTTGGGGGCTCTGGGTAAACTCTACCAGCAGATGGAATCAGCACAAATCTCTGCATTAAATAAGCATAGCACCTTCTGGCATACCTGATCGTAGTAAAGACTACATGAAAATTAAATGCACACCGAAGTAGGCTGTAGTTTGAGGACAAAGTATTCGGCGTATAGCGTATCTTACAGCATTTCTGCCTATAGCACAGAAAGCATAAGGAACTAGATTCTCAGTTCCCACAAAACTGTAATAACTTCATAGCTTGAGTGGTGTTATGACAAGAAGCACCCATTACTCTTTTACACGAGCATATATAAGCACTTACTTTTTTTTATTTTTAAATTCAAGATTGATGC